TGGCTAATTGTAAATGAGAAATACTTACATACTCCTAGAGTGTCACCTCATTCATACTCTCTCCAATGAAAGGTTCCAAGTGTCCTTTCTTGTGGATCTCACATCCCACAAATTTTTCTTGATTATTTTTTTCTCTCGATGACCTATTATGATGGAAATTTGTGGGTAAGAAAGGCCACTTGGAGCATTTTCATCGAATAGAGCATGGATGATGTGACACTTTAAGAGTATATAAGAATTTCTCATTATAAAGACTAGCCCTATCTATGGTGAGCTTTCCCCCTCTCTCTCATAGATGAACTCTTAAAGGACAAGGACTATTACCATATATAATGATTTAACATGCTTTCAACTGTTTTCGCTATGTATGTTAACAAAAGCTTTGAAAGGTGAAACTTTTGTATGTATATCTTGACAGGGTAGGAAATATTTGCATGATTTCAACATTATCAGGGAAGCTGGTGGCGTTGGTAAGGGCATTGTCAAGGACTTTAATGTTGATGTTAATGATAACACCTTGGAGATTCATTTGTATTGGGCTCGAAAAGGAACTAGTTCTATTCCTAATGATAATAACAGTGTATATGGACCTCTTATATCTGCTATTTCAGTCACCCCAAGTAAGTCAAATATCACATTTATTGGTTTACACTCTTTCTAGCTTAAACTAAGTGATGACGATTTTGACATTGATATGAATCGTAACCATTACTGCTTTTTCTCATGTAGATTTCAATATTCCTTGGATTTCTGGGGGAGGCATTGCTGGAATTGTGGTTGGATCGTATGTGTTCCTCATCATACTAATAATAATATTCATCCTCCGACGAATGGGCTTACTAGGTGACAGACGTTCAAAAGACAAACGTAAGATCAAAATCAAAATTAATAAAGCTGGTATATCTATTGATAATTTGATATAATATAGTGAAAAAATGATTTTTTATATGCCTGAATTCTATCATGCAATTCAAATGGATAAATAATGATTTCTGCATATACGTAATTATTTCCAAGTTTCTTTTAATTTCAATGTATTTTGCTTTGTATTTATATAACTTTTATTTTTGATGCAGAACTTTTAGATTTAAAAACAGGTTATTTCTCTTTAAAACAAATCAAAGATGCCACTAATAACTTTGCCCTAGAAAATAAGATTGGTGAAGGAGGTTTTGGACCGGTGCACAAGGTAATTTTAATGTATCATATTTATCTTTAACCAAGATTACACGATTGAATACACTTATAAAGAGATTATCTCTTTAAGACACATTGATTTTGCTTAAGAAAGATTATGACAATTGAGAATAAAGGTAAATTGGTTACAGGGTATACTATCAAATGGAGTTGTCATAGCTGTGAAACAGCTTTCCTCTAAATCAAAGCAAGGGAATCGTGAATTTGTTAATGAAATTGGAATGATATCTGCTTTGCAACACCCAAACCTTGTAAAACTTTATGGATGTTGCGTTGAAGAAAACCAATTGCTGCTGATATATGAGTACATGGAGAACAATAGTCTTGCTAGAGCTCTTTTTGGTAAGAACTTGAATTCTTCACAATAAAAAATTGCCATATGTAGTATTATATATAAGGAAAAGATAAAATTGATTGAGTACAAAAAAAAATTGTTCTGATATGCATGCTCTTAGTGTGTGTGTTACAGTATTACATCGCTATGACAGAAAATGTAAGATTGTATTTATATTATTTGTCAACAACTTTTCTTTATATCTTTATTTTTTAGAAGACAAAATTTAGATGATGTATTTTGGGCTTTTTTTAATTCAAACATATTTACTCATTTGAAACAACTTCTACAAATATTTAATTAATTTTTATTGAATCACTTGATAGTAATATGCTATTGATTAGGATACCATTGATATTAATGTTAGGTGGTCAAGGACAAAAGATACATTTGGACTGGCCTACAAGAATGAAGATATGCGTAGGAATAGCAAGAGGATTAGCTTATCTTCATGAGGAATCAAGGCTGAAAATTGTGCACAGGGATATTAAGGCAACAAATGTCTTACTTGATAAAGATTTGAATGCCAAGATCTCAGATTTTGGATTAGCCAAGCTTGATGAAGATGAGAATACTCATATAAGCACAAGAATAGCAGGAACAATGTTAGTACATATTCTACTACATATTTTTAGTGGATGAATATACTCATCTGGTCCTATTTATAAGTCACTTCTAACATGTTTTACACAGATCAAGAAAAATCTTAAACCTCATTAACTCTCATTTAAAATTTAACAACTTTTCAATTTTATTCCTCTTTAATATACATTATACCTCATGTAAACAAAGTCAACACAATAATAAATGAAGAGTAAAATTTTACATCCAAGTAAAAAATTTCTCTCAGTGCCTTATAAATAGGACCAAAAAATATCTTCTCTCTTTGCCCTATAAATAGGACCAGAGGAGTAATTCTCATATTTGGTTTAGTAATAATGTTAATAGGTTTTTCTTCTTAGACTTCCCCTGCACATTCTTTGTTTTGTCACTTCATTATCAATGTTATATATTTTTTACTAGTGGTTATATAGCTCCTGAATATGCAATGCGAGGACACTTAACTGAGAAAGCAGATGTTTATAGTTTTGGAGTTGTTGCTTTAGAAATTGTTAGTGGAAAAAGCAACACAAGTTACAGGCCAAAAGAGGAGTTTGTTTATCTTCTTGACTGGGTTAGTTATTCTACTCATGCTTAGCATTAATGATGTTCAATATTCTTCATAAAATTAATGGTTTGATTGAAATTTCTAACACTTGCATACTTTTATGTAATTGAAGGCCTATGTTCTTCAAGAGCAAGGAAACCTTCTTGAGCTAGTGGATCCAAGCCTTGGTTCAAGCTACTCCTTACAGGAAGTCACGAGAATGCTGGAGCTGGCACTCCTATGTACTAACCCATCTCCAACTCTAAGGCCATCCATGTCCTCTGTTGTTGACATGCTTGAAGGAAAGTTGCCAATCCAAACCCTAGCAACCAAACGTCAGGAGAGTGACCAACAAGTTGCCAAATTCAAGGCCTTTGAGATACAATTATCTCAAGAAAGCTATAGCCAAATCTTTAGTTCTTCTTCTATATCAAGATCACACGAAAATGTGAAGTAAAGGGTCGAGGCAACGAATAGTGCATCATCACAGTACAGTTGTAGTAGTTAAACCTTAGCCGCTTCTGCATTCTCACATGAAAGTGCGAAGAAAAGATTTGAAGTAATGGATGGCTCAATGGTCTAATTATATTCCTGTGTTTATCTTCCATGTAATAAAGATTTCTTTTCATCTAGTAGGCTTCTTGAGAATTTCAACTCCGCACGTAGGTTGGGAAACAAGCATGAAATTGCAATCTTTCATAAACGAGTAGATATTATTCGAAGAAGGGAAATATAACATGAAGTGTGAAGAAGAATTTACATGTGCTAATTAGTTCCTCTATTTTGCGGTTTAAATGTAATGTGACGTGTAATTAGCGCAACGCATAGCCTTGTCTTTATATATATAAATCTTGTTTTTATTGAACTTCCTAAATGCAAAATGCTAATTAATTCATTTTGACTTGCTTTGCAACACCTAACATTCTATATATTAATAGGGTCAATATAATGCTGTGTATCACTAACACCAGGTTTTCAACTTGGGAAAAATGGGGCAATTTTTTTTTTTGGTTTCAAACCATATAAATACATAATATTACGTTACAATTACCTGCGCCTAGCAGTGCTCTCCTCCTTATAGACTATACATAATTATATTTACATAAAGCAAGTTTCTTGCCCATATAACATGTATAATAATATAAATATTAACTTATCAAAATATTCCACTACTACATACAAAATATAGCAGGCATCCATGCTTTTCAATCAGCCCACCTTTTTCTTATACAACTTCTTTTCCCTTAGAACTGCTTGCCTTTGCTGTATATCATGGAAGGGAGGGTGAGATTCTAAACAATCCCTGTAGTAGTGATTTCCATCAAACAAATGTGCAGACTACATAAAGCATGCAAAACAAGTCAAAGTGGAACAAAACCTTACAAGCTAATGCAGTTATACATGTATGCGCAAAGACAGATAGACAAGTTGAATAAATAATGCGTAAGTAATTGGCAAATACTGTCCTACATGTGATCACCGCTAAATAATCTGTGCAAGGAATTAAGGTTATATGTTCTCATACTTTAAAACAGTAATATAGCACAAACAGACATGCAGCAATCATACACGAATGTAAGATAGGAAAGAACTACTGCTTGGTCTGCTTCCCTTCAAATCAAACCTTACAAATTTTTTCTTCTTTTGCTTTCTTTATAGGCTTGGGCAGATATTAAAACCTATAGTATCATAAGGATAGATCAACACTTGGTCCAACTATAATTTATAAATTAAATAACTCTCTTTAATTCTCAAATCTTCTTTAATCTCCACCCTTACTTAGTAGTTAGTTATCCTGGATAATTTTTCTTATTCAAACTACTCTCTTTAGAAAGTTTCCTCCTTTATCTCAACTTGTACAGTTACTTTAGTTAGTAACTGGACATCTTAGTTGAAAATATTATTCTATATACTATAGTTAAGGACATTTAATGTGTCCTTCTCATACCCCACCTTATAACACTTTTTAATCTTTAACAACGTCTTAACACTTGTAAGCATATTCCAACAGTTTTAAATACTTGCTTAAAATTCCAAGTTTTGACTAATGAGTTCCTCATATCCTTTGACTCTTTATTTGAACTTCCCAACTTTCAAGAACACACACATACAAGTCCTAAAATCTCAACTTCATTCTATCTTTAAAATATTTTCTATTAACACTTCATATTAAATCTGGAAATTATTTCCAGCTTTGAAAATCATCATCACAGCACTTTAATGAACTTCTAACCATATTTCAAAACAACTTTGTATATTACAACTCTATTAGCCTTTAGATATTGTTGTCCCCTACAAGCTTACTAATCGATAGTTTGTGTATGCGCGCGCGCGCACACACTCTCCTTGTTAATTCACCAATCAATTATGGCTTAGCTTTATCTTATCTATAACTCCTTCCTTCCTTTATTCAATTTTCATAATAGAACATAAGTTTCCCACTATTTTCTTGAGTAACTTCAGAACATAAAAAATCATTCTTTAAATTTCTAGCTTCTTAATTATTATCTAATTCTCCATTAATATTTTAAGATTAACCTTCTTAACACCAGCAGTAAGCTGCATAAAATTTTCATTTTTCCCAACTATCATCCTCACGGCTTTACATTATGAGTACCATAACCTATGCTATATTTTCCGTGAAGATTTTATGTAACTCCTCGATTCAATCCCTTACTTAAATTTGCAAATTTTCTACATTTAAAAAAATGCTCAAGTCACCTTTGAAATGCTCCCAAACTTGATCTAACCACATAAATTATATTCGACTTTTAACAATGTAAACTACAGCCTAATTAATTTAATTCAACTTAACCATCCAATCTCTAAAGCTTCCAACCATTACACCATTTTTAATTGTCACTTTAGAAACTTTAATAACGTTTTAATACCTAATGATACTTGATAAGTTTCAAACTTCTTCCTCTTTTAGTTGCCATAAAGGCCTAAAGAAATAGACATATATAATCTTCATAGCTTATAATGTCCTTGATTTCTCCGGCACCTTCTTCTAATTTCCAGAAAGCTCAAAAACAAAATTTAATTCATCATTCTAAAGTCTCTACACCTAGCTAGACCATCGACAATAAATATAAAGCATTTAAAAGCACAAAACAGTAACCGTCCCAAAGATTTTTTTTTAATATTGATCATTCAGTTTTAGCGTGTCAATCACAAACATATATTTATATATCTCATATCCTGCACTTCATATATTCATCATTTAAGCTTTCTTCCATTCCCCACTGCGGAATCTGACGCTGCAGCACCAAAAAAGAAGAAGCCAAATTCAAAAATTCCCTGTCTTAACATCAACCACGCCCACATACACACATATCAGGTATCCATGACCATTCAAGCATACTAGTTTATGAGAGTGTGTGTGTATATATCCTCTCCTTCAACCCTCACAATTCGATTCCACTTTAATGAATCTTTTAACCCCTGTTTCGGTCAACAAAAACAGAGCAAGGAAACCCACATGCAACCACAATTATCAACATGCAACACTTAAACTCACTTATACAAGCTTTAATCTACTTGTTCCATCATTATTTCATTTTTTTATTCCCCATTTCTTCATAACCCAGAAATTTCATTTTCCCATCAGCTCTTCAATCTCACAGAGAATGGAGAAAAGAAGGGTAGGAGAGTATCTAGGATGCTCAACTTGGCCGAAAATTGCAATTGCATGTAAGCTTACCACCTCCGGTTACTCCTCTAGCTTCGCCGATCTCTGGCTCTCTCTCAACTCTCACTCTCCGTCACTCTCTATTTCCAGAAGCTTGGCATGATGAAAATAAATTGGGAGAGGTGTGTTGGCAGAATATAAGTGGGAAGGGCATGCGAAATGACCATTGTGCCCTTCTCTTCATTCCTTAATTCCAATCTCATCCTTCCTCTATAATTCTGAAATTATAAAATAAATCTAAAGATTAACCCGTAATATTTTATATGGATTTTCCTTATCCATTAACTTCATTGAGACATTGACTCATAAAATAATTCCTCTAAAAATTTTGTATAAAAAATCAACTCCTGATTATTTTTCTTAAATTTTCTAAGAAAATAGGCTTTAATTTCATAAATCAATCCTTAATTCATTTTAAGGATTTTATGCCTCGACTAGTTCTTTTTTCTCATAAAATAATTATCCTAAAAGTTCCAACTCAAATATAAACCTCTAACTATTTTTCCTTAAATTTTTAGGAAAAAGGTTCTAATCTCTTTAAAATTTCATCAGAAAACAGGTTTTTTGGTCATGAAAATAATTCTTTTGGACCTCATAATTCTTTAATAGCCTATTTTCCAGAGCCCTAAAATTTGGAATGTTACATACTTTTTTTTTCATGATGATGGATATATAATAGAATTATTCAAACAAAGTTGCCAATGTTGGGAATTTTGTTTTCGGTAAAGAGTGAGTGCCCAAGCCCAATCACAAACTCATGACAAAGCTTATTAGCTAAACCTCTTTCATCTTCATAGGTTCCTTCAACATCTCCACCCTTCCTAGTAACTATAGATTTGGGTGTCCACTGCTCCCTCTAAGCTTCCGCTTAGTTTTTCATCAATTTCCAAGTGCATTTTCTTGTTCTTCGTCATTAGATTCTACAAAAATGAATGGCATTTTGATATTTTATGAACAAAAAATAAGTATCTTTTTTATTTTTTTGAGAGTATTTTTTCACACCATTTTTCCTTCATAAGATTTTAAAATATCATTTATTTTACATAGGATCTAATGATTAAAAAAACAAGAAAATAATATTTTGAAAGTAAAAAAAGTAGCAGTAGAAAAGAGAAGACAATTGAAAAGAGGTAGCTGGTATCTCACATTCAATAATAGTTTCTATCTTTGTTAATCAAATAAAACATGGTAGTGGCTTTCCCATTCGTTTCCCATGAACGTCAAAAGCAAGACTTTTTTTTTTTTTGACCTTGTCAAAAACAAGAGTTGCATTTATACTGAAAAATCTGACAACATTCTGCTGTAGAAAAATTTAGGTGAGTTGGGTCCTGGTACTCACTAGGGCTAAAGCAAGCTTCCATGCTCAGAGAGTGTTTATAAAGGCATTTACAGATTGCTTACTAACAAGTTATTCATATTGATAGTGATATTTGAACTTACAACTTTGTAGATTATAAGCCAATTCCTTATATACTGGACTAATTCTTGTTGACAATTTAGTGACAATTGAAAGGAAAGCATCCTTTGAATTTCATCCAAATGCAACGTTGGTCACCCTTCATAGTGGGGGCCCACCGGCTGAGAAATAGTAATTGAAAAAGCAAAAAACTTTTTTTGGCTGATGTAAGACTGGCAAATTTTTCTTTTGTAAGTAATTGAAGTTCGTCGTCTCTCTTGCAAATTAAGTGGAATGCACAAGAAGAACCTATAAACTTAAGCTAAACATGATCATCACAATTATTCACATCTATGAAGTTTCTTAAGATAGTATTCTGTCTTTCTGGTTCTAAATGTAAGATCCATTTTCACTATAAAATGGGTCTTATGTTTAAGACTGGAGTAGTAATAAATAAATTTATTTACAAAAAAGACCCAAAACAAAAAAATGAGATGAGGAGGGATGGATTCATCACAAAGGGCTTATAATTAGGAAAAGAGGCAAAAAAGTGACATATCGTGTGGGCCCACTTGGGGCTTACCCCAAACACTTTTTAGACCATTTATGAGTTTTTTTTTCCTTTTCAGCTATAC